ACTCCGCGCCAAATCCAAACCAAAGCAGCAACGAGCCGCAGCACGCGCCCACGAATGGGGGCGAGGCTGGGCAGGGTAATCCGCATGTGCAGCAGAATGGCGGCGGTCAGCCMCAGGGTGATCCGAGCAATGGCTTCCAGACGCCCGACTACTATGCGCCGCGACATGGAGCGCCGCAGGGCGGCATGCTGGCGCCACCTGGCTTCCCGCCGTTGCACTACCTGAACAAGGGCGTGCTGCCCATGGAGCAGAAYGGAGGCGAATCGTATGCGCTGCCCGAGCTGCTGCCCGGCCAGCAACAGCAGCAGCAGCAGCAGCAACAGCAACAGCAGCAACAGAACGGAGCCCAGCCGAATGGCGGGCAGAACGGCGGCCCGGCCAATGGCAATGCCAATGAGGGCGCCGCGGCGGCCAATGGCGGAGCAGCGGGCGCAGCGGGCGCCACGGGGACGACGAGCGGCCGCACGGGACCTGGCCGCCCGCACAAGAACAAGCCGCACAGCGATCTGCGGCTGTTCAAGTGCCTCACCTGCGGCAAGGACTTCAAGCAGAAGAGCACGCTGCTGCAGCACGATCGGATCCATACGGATGCCCGTCCATTTCCGTGCTCCGAGTGCGGCAAGCGCTTTCGACAGCAGTCGCACCTGACGCAGCATCTGCGCATCCATGCCAACGAAAAGCCATTCACCTGCCCGTACTGCTCGCGCAGCTTCCGGCAGCGAGCCATACTCAATCAGCACATACGCATCCATTCGGGTGAGAAGCCCTTCGCCTGCCCCGAGTGCGGCAAGCACTTTCGCCAGAAGGCCATCCTCAATCAGCATGTGCGCACCCACCAAGGCGAGCGACAGTTAACACATCCATTACCGATAACGATAACGATAGGCGATGGTACAGCACTACGCCATCGCCACCTAGTCAGGGCCGCAAGGCAAACCAGCTATTTGACCCCACTGCTAGATCCTCTCGTAGCTGCTCTCCTAGTGCTAGAGCGAATCGTTTGGCTAACTGCGTTTGCAGCAATGCAAATCCCTTGCAAAATTCTCCAAATTCCAAATTCTAAATTGAGCGATGTCTTGGCCGAAATTAAATATA